ATATAGATATATGTATATATATGTATATATATGTATATATATGTATATATATATATATATATATGTATGTATATATATATATATATGTATATATATATACACATACGTACGACAACTATTTGCTTATTGCTTGCTTAATCATATGTATATCCAATTATATCCACATTTGAACGTATAGCTACGTTTAGGGCTCCTAAGTATTGAGAAGTTGTTTCCATGTGTGTGTGTGTGAGTGAGTGAGTGTGTGTGTGTGTCATCACCGTGTCTGATGTAATAGATCGTCGACTACTCCATGTTTTCCGTTATGCTACGTGCGAGAGACATTTCACAAAAATATCAAAACATAGCATAAAAAATGCATAACAGCAGAGCACAGGATTCAGAACACCCATAGTAAGAAAACGATGACATCTCACAAGAAGATTGCATCTCACCTAGCACAAGATATCAAAACCCAGTGCAGCACCATGCGATGTAACACGATATATACTTTTGATACAGCGTCCAAAAGTATGGTATGAGACCAAGCGATATGATAGAAGATTGAAAACTAAGAGGCATGGACCGTTGCTGACTGTGCTCTGTTTACTCGTATGCGATCACAACACTGACTCCGGGCAGGGCCGGAACTAACTCAACATGCAGGACGGAAGGCTTGGCGACATAGTGGCGACATGACTGCACGTCTACGTGTTGTCCGATCAATCGCAGGAATTATGACACCTGGGCCACGGATCGGCCCCTTGTTGCGACTCAGGGAGGGCGGGCGGGAAATCTGAAACACACCTGACGCGGACGATGACGGAGACGACTTTTCTCGCCGTGAAAACTTGCACAACGCACAAGCTGTCAGCAGGACAGCACCCCATGCGCTCTCGTCATACTGTGCGATCGTCCCATGCACCCGACCACACCAACCTTTGCAGGGGTACATGCGTGTACACATGTGCTGACCAATGCATCTACCCATTTGCGTTTCTGATACGAATCAGTGACTTTGTCATGGCTGCTTGTGGATGATGGCTAGAAACTACATACAGGGCGCCTCAGGGAGCTGGAGGACTCCATTGCACCTGCATTCCAACCTGCCGCCCCGAATTTACACCGAACCGGGCTCCGGAACCACGGCCAGGAATTGCTGCGTTGCCTTCTGACGTCATCCCTTCAAGCCCCTCGATCTACCAAGACTCTTCAAAGGCACCACATCGCCAGTACTCGACACCTCGCCGCACGGTTGTTTGACAACCAAACGATCTCCCTTCAACTCAAGATTCAGAGGCTCTCAAGCCACGGCTTCTTGACAGCCAAGTTGACGGGCTCATAGTGAAATATGAGGCCGGTATGTAAGCGAGAGAAGCCTCTTTACAGATCCGGGATGATGCGGCATCTTATGTCACGAGTTCGCTTTTCGCGGTGGAGGGGTCTTGCTGTGAATTCAGTTTGCTCTTGCTGCGGAAGCTGCTCTTGCAAATCAATTGAGCTCACGGCTCTCGGTCGCCAGGCTTCACTAGTCACTAGACGGTCCGTGGATGTATAATTGTGAAGCCACCTCAGGCGCAGCTTAGAAAGATGATACACCTGTAGACATCATAAAAGCGGAGGGCATGAAGATCACATAAAGCCGACACTTTCAAACACCTCTGGGGCAAGAATGCATTCAAACGCGACCTGCGTGAAAATGCGCTTCTGGGCTTCGCGAATCGAGGCCGGCTCGGGGTCGAGATGCGAATTTTCATGCACATGCATGGCGGCCGGACTAACAACAGCGAAAGAGTTGAAGCTCAGGATCATCAAGTGTGTTGCTGCTGATTTCAGCTGCTGCTGCTGCTGTGCTTCGTTGGTATTCTTCTTTCTCACCAGCTGTATGGCTACTTGCGGATGAAGTCATTTCTGTATGTCTATAAAAGTCAATGAATGTTCTTACTATGCTGTTAGGCTGTCAGCGGTCGTATAGTAATGGCACGGCCGCTCCTGTTGCTAGTGCTGGTGTCGGCCGTGAGGGAGCGGCGGCGGTGGTGGCCCCGTCTTGTCGATGGTGGTGGTGACAGTGAGAGCCTGCATCACCTTCAGAGTCGATTGCGAAAATCCAAATCACCTGCCATCTTCATCATCCTCTTCCTCATCAAAATCATCAGTTTCGTCACCGTGGCCGCCGGCTCCTCCAGCCAGCAAGAACAGCATGACCATGATCTGAGCTTGTACCAAGGTTTTAGTGTTTTGTCATTCTTGCATATAAAGTGGATCAGTCACGGATCGTGCATGTGGCATCGCGGCCCAAATGCACCAGTATCCGAAACCTTCCCCCAGCAGGCCTGCGGGAAGCCGTCGGAATCAGTTCCAGCGCCGATACTACCCGAGGTGCTTCGAAGCCTCAGGCCCAACCAAAAAGCATTGAAGTTGTCGGGTTCAGGGTCAAGGCAGCAAAATCGGAAAACCCTCATGTCAGATCTGTGAGTGAATTTACCCTGCCGCAGACCCCAACTACCTCGTCTCTTTTCGGACAGCCCTACTCCGCTGAGACGAGACCAAGATCATGTTCATGCATTGCTGGCCTGCGGCCCCAAGGTATACGATTTTTGTCTTCCGCATGGCAGATCCGACGACCCACTTGGCAGGTACCGAGTCATGTTAGAGGGGCAGCCTGGATTTTTTTGCTCGGAAAAGTACTGTACATGAAACTGGCTCTCGCGATCTCCCATAGATTTTTTAAGACAGGCAGGCAGACCGACAGACAGACGAGTAGGCAGATGGACGGATGCACGGATGGACCGACAGATACACAAACAGGGAGACAGACAGATAGACATACAGATTGAGATGGATAGGTGGACATAGATAGATAGATGGATGGATGGATAAACAGACAGACAGATAGATAGATAGATAGAGAGAGAGAGAGAGAGACAGATAGACAGACAGACAGACAGATGGATAGATAGATAGACAGATCTACATAGGTAGATAGATAGACAGATAGATAAATAGATAGGTAAAATTGCTAGATTGGATATCTTGAGTAGACCAGACAGGTTTCAGAGGTTAGATGGCCTAGAGTACGTAGATTCGATAGATTGATAAATACAAAGACAGATAGATAGATCGATCGATAGATAGATTGTCAGATAGGTCAACAGGTTCACAAATGCCAAAGCTGCGATTTGGGTGCGATCTGTGCAAAGACTGACTCCGTCTCCAGAGCCCTAGAGATCCCTGGAGCCAACATCTCAACTCCCGCGCCGGCAAGGATCTTGTAGTTGACCATTGTGGCAACGTCCTCGCTCGACACGATTACCTCCGAGTGGTGTAAAGGTTGAATGCGAGTTCCAGAGTTTCAGGGTGCCTGTCTCACTCCTGACCGAGCCCTCAACCCCAAACCAAATACCCAACAAAACCTACAATAAGCTCCAAGGTCCTAAACCGAAATACCCAACCCCTGGCCACTGCCAGAAGCTCAGCCTGCGGACGTTACCCTTTATGCCTATGGCAGGTTAAAGGGCGCTCCCACTTCAAGGGCCCAGGCTTGGCATGGCAACAGTTTGAGTGTAGGGTTTAGGGTTTATAGGGTTTTTTTCCCACCCGCTTCGCTGACTAGGTCGCACTGCAGGGAACAAAGCTTCGAGAGTCGTCTGAACGTGGGGTTTATAGGGTTTAGGCTTAAGGGTCCAACATCGTTTCTGAACACGAAGTTGGAGCCCGGTGAGCCTGCGGAGAGCCAGAGCGACATGCGGAAGTTCCAGTGGATTTTTCGGAGTCCTTCCGGCGCCTCAGCTTCTGTTGGTGGCTTTGGTTTTCTTGGTTGCGGCAGTATAGCACTTTAACCTACTGAAGATCGAGAAAGTAAGGCGGTCAGCCAAAGAGGATGAGAAGCGTGACGAAGGGATGCATGCTGAAGGCTGCAGCCTTCAGGCATCCTACAGGCCCGAGGATCTGTAATCTCCTGTCTAGGTCTCGACATCGGCTGAAGAGCTTCACAAGCAAACGACCCGTAATCGCCGTAATCCCACAGACCTTCCGGCGAAAAGGTCTGAGCCGCAGTCAAGACACAGTGGAATACGGACTTTCTTCTGGATCTGCACGCGAGCCAGCACGTCGCTCTGAGTGCTGAAGGCTCGCATGACCTTGACAATAATGAGAGAATTCCGACAAGCAACAGGACGTCAAGCCACCATGGTCTGCGAAGGGGAAGAACTACAAGAAACACCGCACTGCAGCGCACTTGCGCACACACATGCACAAGCTCACTCCATTCCACTTCACTCCGTCTCCAACGGTCGCTCACTCACTCACTCGCTCATTCGCACATTCACTCGCTCGCGCACTCACCTACATACTACGGAAGCACTTACAACATGCATCCATACTCAGCGATCCGTGTCTCTGCTCTCTCGCAGGAGAGGACGGGGATGACAAACCCGCCGTGCCCAAGTTGCCCAGTTTGTAGCTCTACACTCCAGCCGAGATTCCTCTTCGTGACGTTGCCGCATCAGCTCGCAGGTCTGTATGTGCTGCTGCGCCAGCATCTCACCCAGTCGGCCGGCCAAATCAGCAGCAAAATCGCACTCAGCCGTCTGGATCTCCTGCCATGTCGCAACAAACCGAACGGCCAAACGGTATCAGTAGCAATGCAGCAACTAAAAGCATCCAGAGCCAAACCGCTTTGGGCTTCAGGCCATGGAGCCGAAGCACGTAAGCACGTACATGCAGACATACATACCATACATACAAAGCGGGAGTTTCCGAAAATAAGGCGTACCTTGTTTTGGGGGTCCTTATAATAGGGATCCTATTTTTAGGGTACTATATTAGGGTCCCCTTTTTTTGGAAACCCCCATATAGCAGCACGACATTGTAGCCACCCGGCGGGCCATCTCTGCCAGTCATTGAACCAGGCTTACCAACCTTCATCTACACATGCACATGCGCATTTCTCGGTGCAGGTTCACATCCGCTCTGCGCGGTGTCCTGCTCTGCACACATCCTTAGACACCACAACTTTCATGACAGCAAGTGGCAATTGAGACTGTCGGGTGGCCTGGAACATGAAAGTAAAGAGCCACAAGGCAATATAGAATCAAGAGAACGAGCCCTTGCCTGCCGCGCTTGAGGGCTGAAAACTGCACTGCAGGGCCTTCGGTTCGTGTGTTTTTTGATCTCCGAGGTCGAAATTTTCGAGTCTACTAAACACCCTACGGTCGGGCCCGACCTCGCAAGCCGGAAACCGGGAGACATTGAAAAACCCTCCCTTTTGACGACGGGCTCAAGGCACTGCAGGGATACCTGCAAGCCAGCGCCATGCATAGACATGCCTGTCTTGATTGGCTTTCGGGCGAGACGCCAAAGTAATGTAGCGACAACTATGTCGAATCTTTGCAACATCCTAAACTTGGAAGCCCGAGCTCTCAGCAAAACCCCTACGCTGCATTTGTTGGAGCAGGCCCCTGCATGCTTGCCTAAGCCCCAACCCCTTCACCCTACACCCGCTTTCGACCCAGCAGCGCTTCTTGCTCTTCGCAGGACAGCAGATGGCCAGGCTGTATGAGCGGACTCACGTAAGGCGACCTGAGCGACGATTCGCCAGATAGTTTTGTAGGTCCATCTCTGGCTAGCTTGCTTCTAGTACCACACTATAACTTAACATTACAGATATTTTCATCAGCGTCTGGGAGCTCGAAGTCGCCCTCGGCGGCGAAGCTGACCGATGATGACATGGCTTCGTAAGCGGAAGGGATGGTGGGTTTGTTGGCAAAGGCTCCGGCGGCTAGCGCTTGGGGGTGTCGAGTCTGGCTACAGGCTGGGGTTCTTGATTTCTTCAGTCAGCACTTTGCTCATTTTCCTGGCATGGCCACAACTGTCCACAGTGTTACTCGGCAGGTACATTTATCAGGGTTATTCAGGGTTCCTGTTTCCGTTTTTTATGCCGATGTGTATGGAACTGAGGCGGGCGGCAGCAGGCACCAATAACAGAAGGCATGCAGCCAAGCATTGCAGACGCTCTCTCCCTCGATGTGTTTGAACAAACTACAAAATATGAAAATGTAAGTATATATGCATATATACACACATATGTATGCATCCATGCATCCATGCATCCATGCATGCATACATGCATGCATGTAGAATTCATCTGGTTTGTTGATTGTCGTTCAGGTATATCTACGACGCTACGAACGTCAAATGACAAGTATGTCACCGCGTGGCTGCATCTATGTCTCTACGATATACATTCCCACACCACAGGGGTAATATATCGACGCGCACATTGAGCCGTCAAGATGCCCGAATGCCATTTATCAAAAGCACGCTCCTGAGCACGCCGTTCACGAGCTGCATCGCCATCTCCTGAAGCTTGCATGACCCATGTACCGTACTGGTGTGGGCTGGCCGAAGCAAGCACCAAATTCGCAGGCTAGCAGGTCACACCAAACAAACACCATTCAAACACCGATCAACACACACACACACATACACAGACACACCCACCCACGTTCACAGTTTATACAGCCTTTCTAGCTCTCGGCGCGTCGGCCCATCCGACCAAAGATTTTCCAGACGCATCAACCTGTAGAAGCAAGTGTTCAACCCTCCGAGAGAACGGCAATTTTCATCTGCATTCTGGCGGGCGTGCGGCCTTGCCCTTCTAGCAACGAGGAGTTTCTCGATGATGGCAGGTTGCCTTCTCGGAGAAACCAACTTCAACCAGACGGCAGAACTCTGCAACGACTCTCCGTCTGAATCCGCTCCTACCCGCCATTGCACAGATTCTCTCCAGAATCTCCACGGTACTGCAATTATTTTGCAGGGTTTGTTCAATACTCTGGAGCTATCAGTCGAACTCAGCACGAGTTGTCTCACGCACCCCCCGTGTCCAGGGAGGAAACGACCAAGAAAGGCCTGATCTAGGTCAGTGGCCTGTAGCACTGGGGGTAGATGCTACCCGGGCAAGCAACGAGAAAAAAAGTCGGCCGGTGTGAGTTCTGGAAGGAGTCGGATGTTAACATGGATGTCGCGAAACACAGCATATCTGCATATGGTGCTAGCAGCAGGGCAGCACCATCACTTAGGCAATTCCACGTATGAGGGATAGCGCTGTGTGGTGCCCCATGCTTTGCGGGCATACTCACTTGACACCAATGATTCGAATTTTATACCCCTTGATCAATCGAATAAGGGGCAACATTTTCCAGATGGAGATGCGTAAATATCGCAGTTACCGGATCAGCGAACACATGAGTGTTTACAAAAGAAGCAGCTGTCTACGGAACGAGCTGCAGCAGATACGAAGGCACAGTTTGTGGCATGAGGCATCTGCGGCGGCAACGACCACATTCTCACTAGTTTTGGGTGCTGGAACAACATTGCAAGGTTACAAGGCTTCTGGAGGTAAGACGAAGCTTTGGAACCAGAAATATTCGGCGACCTCCAACGACGTTTCTTGCCCACAGCAACATCCAAAGCACAAAGCCACTGGGACGTCATATCGCCTATCGCCACTGCAAGGGCTTCACACTTCAAATCGACCCATCCTTGTCATGTCTAGGAGGATTCTGGTCCTAGTCCGAACTGAAGGAAGGAGCAACATCGAGGAACATGCCCATTTGCTGGACGACAGGCATCCAGGCAGTCGCTTAACGATGCCCGTCGCCGCACTTTGAACCATCCACGTCCCTGGACGAGCCTCGGAGTAAGCCTCGGGCTCGGGCCTTAATAATTGCCTGTGCTATTTTAGGGGCTCCTTGTTATAATTATACTTATAATAATTACCTATACTATTCTTGACTGACTAGATCTCATCGTCCGATGGTTTCGCGTGCTGAATGCGGTGAAGAGATGCTGTTGCTGTACATCATGCAGCATGACCACGTCTTTGTTGCAGCATCAGCATCTCAAAGCGTGAAACGGAGAATGAGGTGCACGATGCTCATGTGAGAGGGAGTGTGGAGCCGCCAGTGGGGTTTTGGACTTGGGGCACCCTCCGAACAGCATGTGCACATCTGTTTGCAATGTCAAGTTTTATGAGCTTGTGCTCTACGTGCAGGTGGTGCGAGCACATCTAGTCCGCTTCAACAGCCGGCAGCGCTCCGCACTCCCTCCATCCTAAAGCCACTTCAGAGGTGCAGCTCCCCCTGCCGCCTCAGAAGCTCATGGAAGAGCGCTTTGAGGTTCCCGATGTCGGCTCCCACACGGAGAATCTCCTCGGCAGAAGAACTTCTGCCCCAGAGTCTCAAGCCTTCTTCACACAGATGTATGATGCATGTAGCCGATGGGCTAGTGACTATTGAACTCTCTAGCTCCACCGGGCGACCCCTCTGCAAGGGTCTTGCAAAGTCGCATAAGCCACCCCTGTCCAGGAGACACTGACAAACCAGCTCTCAAGGGTTGCACTGAGCAGGTCACATGACCTGAAGTCTTAGCCAGTAAGCTGGGACATAATCTCATCTTGGCCATGACCACCGCCAAAATCATCATGAACAAAAGCATGCAAGAATTAGGAGACTTTTTAGTCACAAGCAGGCTCACGACGGTGGGAATGTTGTAACGTTGCCGTACATGAAGGAAATATCTGTGGCCGCCTTAAAGCCCACCCTGTCTGAGCCGTAATGAGTCTTTCACTAGCAACGTCCTCCAAATCACTAATAAATTATGTCACTCGTTTATGCAAGCGGCCGTGTATCTTTGCTTCTGCGAAAGGGCACTAGATTCGGTTTTTAGACTAATTAGCCCTGTAGACCCAATTTACAACCAGGCTGCGGCGCGAGTCTTGAGATTTTCGTGCCTCATCCGCGCCAGTTGGATGCTCTGGGCCGGGCCCTGTGAAAGGCGCATAGCACACAGTGGTCATGGCTTCGTACAAATTATAAGGACGGTCGCCGGATGATAAGCGTGTGTTGTATGTATGTAACACAAGGTGTAATTTATAATCTTATATACATATATATCATAACGTAACATGTATGATACATAACATGCAACCTATAATGTGTAAACTCTATAGCTTGTCATACATAATGCACAACAAGACTCTAGATCTAGTGTACAACAACAGGCGTGTGTGCCTGTGCGCGTGCCAACGCAACGTCTATGTGGGTACCAGCTGGTACTAAACGCGAACTCGTCTTCGCCAGAAGAAGCTATGAGCTTCGTGCCAAACTTGTTCCACTGGTTTGCAATATTTTGCAAAGTCCACAGCCCTCACAGCGAGATGCTAGAAACGACCAGCAACACCGACAGTCACATTGACAAATACAGGATGCCGCGCCAAAAAGGCGTCGTCGTCATCCTCGTCGTCTTCAGAGTATTGATTAGTGGAGATTGTGCTGGCAAGCGCGATAAACAAAAACAACGGACATTATCACGACTCTAGCACGTTAGCAGCAGTTCGTCCCCGCCTGCAATTGCATGCAGCCCGTCACAAACTCTTCCAGCGTAACATCACCGCTTCCGTCAGAGTCCATGACCCTCAGTGAATCGTAGACCCTCTGGCTTTGGGATAACAGCTCGCTTCAACAAGACTCGGGGGTTCACATCGGGATACCGTACCGGACCGAAGTGCGTGGTTCCACTGCATGGAATCGGTTTTGACCACCACGCCTGATGAGACGTTACTATGAGTGACTCCCCACTACGACACTGAATACAAGTACTCAGCAGTACTGCAACACAAACGCAGAAACTGTGCGGACAAGAAGCTCGAGTCTTGGCTTCAGCATACGGGATCACGAGCACAGCAACACAGGCAACAGCAATAAGAAGTATGTGCACAGTTCACACATGGGAATGTCACGAATGCAACAAACGATGATAATGCCGCTGGAACAGCATTGGCAGCGCTCCGAACCGAGACTTTCGGAACTTCCTCATCGTTTCTTCCAAGGGGCATAAACAGCGTCCAGATATCCTGGTGAAGCCAGCTGACATATGCACTCAACGCATCAGCAGTAGTAGCAACAACTGCAAAAGATATTCGCCAGGAGGGACAACTAAACCAACATGCCGACCTCAATGCAAAAACTGTTGCGACGGAACCCAGTGCGATTTTCAAATACGATTTGTCCCGAATTTGCAGGCTCCTGTGTAGAGATGTCCATCGACTCCAAGAAACTCGCGAGCTTCTTCGATTTCAATGCGTCCTCCAAAGCAGAAAACTAGGGAATGAGATTAAACGACATTCACCCGACCCTGCAGGCACACGGTCCCCAGTGAAACATGCACATGTCATAGTTTCCGTGCTGAACCTGTCAGCAAAATGATGCCTTCAGCTCTTGAAGGCTCACGAGGTTCGATTGGTCGTTGTCGATCTCCTTGGTTCAAGCCGCATGATGCACGTGTGAAGGCATCAGCACCAACACTGGCCGATCAAAGCAACTCCGCTATGATGCCACATGCAGCAAAGCAGAACAGAATCTTCTCGAATTGCAAGTACAGAATTCACTAACATCATCGAAGACTCTTTAAACACACCACGAAGTGATTTGAGCTGCTTGGCATGCTTCTGCATTTGCTTCATGATGGCAATGTCCTTCAGACAACACCGCTGACCAGATGTGCGCAAACTGCTTGCACTTCTGCAAAGTAACACGCGGGACTCAACGGATTGCCTTTGCATTCTGTACAACGACCCCAACTCACGCCAGTCCCGTTAGTCTGTTCTGTCCCCTCACATGCCTTGTCCGCGCGGGCACTCTCAATGGCGTTGTTACAGAACACCCCAGTTACCTGAAAGCTGCGCTGTCTGGATGCTTCCAGCCGTCCAAGCTGTGCAAAAGCAATCGCGCCACAGTCTACGCCAGGCATGCTTTGGTATGACGAAAGCAATACTCATACCAAATATTTGCCGAAAGACACTTTACAGGTCAATCCCAAACCCAAGCGTATGTAACACTGATGGACATATTTGGAGAAGGATATTTTTGGAGAAGCTCGCAAAATGATCAGAGACAGTGCGTTTGCACCGGTTGCACACAGCTCTCGTTCCACGAAAAAACGAAGGAGAGGTCAACACTGGATTTATCATCTGGAGCGCAACGCTCTTTCAAACAACTGCATAAGGCGTAAGCAACTTCCCAAAACTTGATTACACACTCTCAAAACGATGACATAGCCTTACCCGAAAATCCTTACCAAGCTTCTCATATACGACTCCAGCAGCTAACACAAAGCTGCAAGTTGGGCCCCAACGCCCAATATGAAGTACTCCTCTGCCCCAAGGCCTGTTATGCATGTGGTCAGATTTCAAAACCGCAATAATTTGGGCAATAATTGATTTTAGCTGCACACTCCTCGGCTCAGGTTCTGATACAAAACATTTCCCTGCCTGCAGGTTATGTGGTAAGTCTCGCACACAGCTCCACGTCAAATACTAGGCCCCGTAAAACACGCAAAACATAAGTAGCAATTACTACCTCGAGGTTCCAATGTGGCTCCTTTCTCTGGTTCCGGTTGGTAAACCCATTCTTTCTGGTTCTAGGATTTGGGGGCTTCAAGAAGAGGTCTTGCATCTCTCAAAAAATCTTCAGTATATCATCAAGAAAGTCCAAGAAGATCAAGAATAACATAGAGCCAGAATGATAATGTCGAAATATAACGACTGATGATAAGATGATGTTCATGTGCTAATGCTGATGACATGCTTGCTGTTCTACTATCAAACACACGGTCAAGTTTTTTATCGCTCACTCCGCCACCGACGTCTGGCTTCAATCAACAACTTTTGCGCCGTGCGCAACGGCATGGCCGTCTGGTGCGTCGTCCTCGATACAACAGAAGCCCTACCAACATAATCCTCGGACATGGCAATTGAGAATACCATCGGATTCAGGATACGTTGCTGGTTTGACAGCTGCTTCCTTAGATTCAATCGGACATGATCCAAATAGTGAGCCTTGGGAGTGATATCGAAGAATACCAGACCGTCGTTGAACACGAGCCGCATGTAGTTGATCAGAAACTGGTCCAAACTTTCCACCGCACGTCGTGCTTCAGTTGGAGGCATGAAGACCCGGTCGGCTTTAGAACATGTCCGCATGAAATCATCGAGGCCGGAGTTGATTCAAACATGGACAACATCTGCAAAGCTTATAGCCGCTAACGAACAAACGAATTATTCTCTGCCTGTGAGCGTCTTACACTGTTGAGCACTGACGCATTTCTTTCGTATCAAGTGGCCACATAGTTGCGCGTATATGCCTCCTACGGCTTTGTATAATTGGATCAAGCCCCCACACCAGTAAACCAACGCGCCCATGAGGCTGAACCATAAACCCTGAAAGGCAGCTCTACGCCTCTACGCTGTGCAGCTGAGCTTAGACTTCTCGATTGGACAGTTCATGGCCGACGAGAGTTGAATGTCAAATGGCCCCCAATGATATTACTTAGTCTTAGCTACTCCCCATCTTCCGGTAATACTGTTGCCTATCACACAAGACCTGTGGTGGATTGTGGTAGCGCCACCACCAGTTGTATTCTGGCTGCATGTTGTTGGTCCACTGGTTCCCACGCATGAGGACGACTACTACTACCACAAGTACTAAATTACTATGCATTAGGCGAACTACTGGTGCTGTCAGTGGCCGCCGCCTTGCGCGTGTCTGGCTGTGCTTTAGCTTCAGCCCGAACCGGCATATCCCTGCCATGGAACGTATAACATCGGAGGTGGTACATGAACCACGATGCATGAACCACGAGGAAGGATTCAGATAGGGACTGGTGGCCGCGTAGATAGGATATGTGGCGAGGACTACACACCCCGAATTTTTTGCACATGAATACCAGATCACCAAACCAGCAGCACTGTTTCGGAACTGTTCCGCTCTCCATGTAAACACCTTGACACAACCCTGTCCAAAAAGTGACAATCGATTCCGGCAGTATTCCGACTGAAAACTTTTTTCTGTGCTGTTGTTACTGTTACTGAATGCTGCTTTCTTACCTTCCTGCAGCTACTGCAGTCCCGTGTTCAAGAGAACAGTGACGACTTTGCTTTCCGGAGCTTGCTAGAAGCCAACAACAACAAACTCCCGGCCGCCCTGAACCTCGTGCCATCCGTAAGTGCGCCTGGGGAGACTGGAAGTCTTGCAGCGGGAGAACAACTGCGACCTTCCAGATTCCCGCATGGAGCTGGATGTACCCTGAGGGACCTTGGAGAGGTCTTTGCAGATAGCAACCAGTGCCTTGAGTTGCAAGGCCTCGGCAAGTGTAGCGACAGCAATGTCCGCTTCTGGAACATTCGCCCGTGTCTATGGTCTAAGCAAACTTTGCGAATGAAGCGACTTTACCTCTGACAATCCATGGATTGGGCGGCTCCGAACGATGCGACTTAGGGCCGTGGCGGGGGCTTAGTAGGAGCCACAAGGACCTGAGAGGTCTGTGGGGCCCTCAAGTAAAGGCATCAACAGCCGCCTTCAGCATCGGACCAACAGCACATCCAGGAGAGCGTGGAGAGGGAGCGCGTGGAGCACGAGCCCCTCCCTCACCCCCTTCAACCCAGCCAAGGTTCTCAATGTGGGCACAAGCTTCTTTGTGCTTTGGACTTCACATTCGAGGATCAACGCCTTGATTTTTGAGCCGAACATGCAGCTGACCACTTGGGTGGTCATCAGCAAACTTGACCTCGCGAGGCTGCAGGGGGCCAAGGGCGTTCGTTTGGTTTGATAGCGTTCTGGCCCTTACCTTTGCCTTTGGGCTTCCCTTTGCGGCCTACAACCTGAGTCCACTCCGATTCGTGTGGAGCACTGGTGGGCGCAGAGTACTAGCCACAGACCGAGGCTCAGCAAGGCCAAGCCGCTCAGTTTCGCGCAGACACTTAAGCCTTAAGCCAGCGAGTGCAGTCCCTTGTCACCGAGCCTGGTTTCAGCCTCACTCTGGGCTGACAAAGCTTACGGCCACGATTTTGGCTGACTCTGCGGCCTGCACAACGGCGAAACGCACCCCTCGTCGAAAGTCTGGCGCCCAGCAAGCAAAAGGCAGCTCAGACTCGGGCCAACTGATCAAGGGCCCAAACCGACGATGACACTTGCCACGACAGGCTGTTCAAAGCAGTGCGTCAGTTGCTGTTGAAGCCAGATGCGTTGGCGTCGTTGGCGCTTATGTGCCCGTCGTCGTGCTGCACATGCACTTCGAAAAGGCCCTGGGTCTAAAACCACAACACACCCAATCGAAAAGGGAACCCAGGGAACGAGGAAACAGCATGCCCCAAAGCCATAAAAGGAGGAGGCATGCATGGTTCATCAGCATCAGCCATGAATGGTATATCCACTGCAAAACGGAACGAAAATTCTGAAGCTCAGACCACGCAGCGGTAGACCGCTGTTCAAGTTCAGCTGCGGAACACGCGGGGCGTGGAGGGAACCATCCGTGTCTTGCGCGCGGGCCATGGTGAGCCATTGCCAAGGTGTTGTTAGTTGCCACGTGTAAGCCCCGCCGATTGCGCTGCCATGGCTGCCACGAACAGTCTAAGCTACAGGGAGGCCCGGTGAAGGGCCGGCACTGCACTCTCCAGCATGGACTGGACATGCCGTGAGTTTGGTTTGCGCAAGAAGTAAGAAGGCAGGGAGAAACCAGCCAAAGCCACCAACCAACCGAAACTCGAAAACCCCTTGTAATGGTACCGAACTTCTTGCACGCATGGGTAATGCATGAATTGCGTCGCAGTCTCTTGCATGCTTCATTAGCTTTTGAATCCTGTCTTGATTCTCCAATCTTAGTCAATGCACAACACCGAGAATTGCTTACAGGCAGACGAAAGATTACAAAGCACCCGCAAAAGGCTGACGTGGCAGCAGTTTGAGCCTTCTTTTGACTGTATTTTTGGTCCTTCGCAGATCTTGTTACTGCTGTTGTGTCTCCTTTCTGCACCGCTACTTAGAAACCAAGAAGCAGCGGCCCGCATCATGGAGACCAGACGCCAGAAATCCAAAAAAATCCATGGCTCTTTTGTGGTTTTTCATCAGAAGTCCAAACATTTCCAGCTGTTTTAGTTTGTCGGTGTGTTCTTTCATGGGTCTTTCCACCTAAAACCTAAAATCTACAAACAAACATGGGTTCGTTGAGGCGAAACCAGCCAGCACAAAACAAAGCTCGCAAAACCAACAACAGACACAAGTTCCAGGGCCACCGCAAAGGTTTGGGTTTTTGGTTTTCATACTGGATCAGCTGACATATCGTACACTCACCGAGCCGTCCCCTTGATTGATGTGACTGCTATTTTGCAGGGCACTCGAGTGACTAAGATTCGTCATCACCACTCTGTGTTTTTCATGGCTTGCTTTGCACATCGAAACATGTCTGTACATATTGTAGTAAATGTGCGTGTGTGTACATATAAAAAAAATAGTACATGGTACAAGGCTACGAGAACTCTCGTGCCACATGCATTGATAGATGCTGCTCTGGACAAAGGCCCTCGAGATTCAGGAATGTTCGGGCATGTGCGGAAAGGAACTGAATGCAGGAACTCTGGTTTGAGGATCCTGAAGCATCACGCCGAGGGATGCAACTGCTAGCTTCGCCAAGTTTCACGAGAAGTGTGCCTTGTTTGGCGTGCTTGGAACATTAGCTAGTATCCCCCTTGCCCTGAGGTTGCCAGGCCGTGTCTGGAGATATGTCCGCACGGGACGGGCAACACAGAAAGCAGCACTGGCACAAACGAAGTCCTTCTTTCAGTGATTCAGCTTTATTGTTTGCCCTTTTACCGATGCGAGCCGCCGGCTTAAGGTGCGGAGCTGTAGTGATGCATCTTCTGGCTGGGAAACATGAAAACAGATTCCATTCACATCAGTTCGCTTCTATGCTTGGCTGCAAAGAACGAGGCAGAGCACTCATGCACATCTGGAGCTCTGGCCACCGAAAACCACTGCCGTGTTGCGACATTCAATATCGCTAGGACTGTAAGCACGATGTACACCACCATGCACAGGAAGGCGATCTCAGAGACCTGACGTGACGATGCGTGGAAACTAAGGATCAATGCAAACGGCTTGATTTCAATTCCACGGGTCCCCAACCCCTTCTGTATCACCGTGCTGCCGTCTTCACCCGGGCCTCTTAGGACACGGTAAACTTCGTGGATTCCTGTCCGCACCGCTGCTCTGCTGACACAGAACTGCCTTGCATGCTGCTAGGCTGCCAGGTCTGTTTTGTTGTTCTAAGGCTCGCTCCGGATGCACTGTCGGCAGCAAGTGTGCGCTAGCTCAAGTTCGTACTGCTCCGAACTCTGGCTTAATAGTCCGCTGCTGGAGTTGCCTTCAATCTGTCGTGTAGACAACGTAAGCTGGACACTTGGCCGACAGCAGTGGGTCCTTCTGTTTGCTCCCCTCTGCGAGGGGTGTGAAGCTGTTAAACAGACGCTCGGGACTGTTTCTGGCAAGATAAGCCTAGCGGATTTGGGTCGGATTCAACTAACAACGACACCCGTGGGCGGATGGGCAGTAACCTGAAACCAAACGTCCGGAAGCAGTGGACAAATGCGCCATTAACGTGGGCATGGGGAGGTGGAGCGAATGCAGCATTATGCTCGCTTACTGCTTCACTCCTGCAAGAAGTCCTTGCTATCGAGGCCCTGGCAACCACTACTATTGTCCATGTGTGCCTGTGGAGAGGGTCGTTTGCGGAAGGTGTGTCGGTGCCCACATCTTTCCAGAAACTGTATGTATGTATGTATGTATGTATGTCTGTATGTATGTGCGCATGCTTGTTTGTGCGTATGTACTTGTGCATGCATGCATGCATGCATGCATATATGTGTCCCCGCATACATGCATGCATACAGACAGACGACACGCGCACATAAACATGCATGCATACATGCATACATGCGTACATATACATACATACACGCATGCATACATACATACAAAAATACATACATACACACATAATTACACATACACACACATACACGTATGCATGCACACGTGCATTTACATGCACATGCACATACATACACATACATACGTCCCTACGTACGCGCATATTTCACAGACAGGCAGACGTACACACATACATAAGTATATGCACATACATACATGAATACATCCGTACATACATCCATATTCATACCGACTCATACCTGCATAGATAGAAAACTTAGTGAGGCAAAGTGCATGAGAATATAACAATGCATATTGGCCTAGTCAGAAACAACCCGAATCAGGTTCCCGTTGACTGGGACGGTTCTGGTAATTCAAAGGCACGTCCCGCAATGGCTGAAGCGCTTCAGACCAGCTAAGGCCGCCGGAGATCGAGATGAACAAAGTGAGCCTCGGCAGTGGACAAGTCCGAACATGCCGGCGGCCCTCCAAATGGAGGTCCTTTCGGTGCTATACTACTGTTCGATGCTGTGTTCAAACAAACCCTGCTCGTTCAAAAGGAACCTTCCGTCAGCTGTCAAGTCAAGAACCTACATGTTCTTCAGGACCGTTCCTGAAAAACATGTAGCGTCTTGACGGCTGTCTACTACCTTGGTCGTGCCTTAAGTTCTGCTTCAGAAAATGATCTCTGTAGAGAGCGAGGAAAACAAGCACTTTGTCCAGCCGCATACTCTCCGCCACGCTCTTCCAGAACCTGTTCAGGATGCTGACATGCCAACATACCCCTACATGTACTGTAGTGACGGAAGCTGCACTAACATAGCTACATAGCCACAAGTATAGTAGTAGTTTACGATGTTGGGAGGGCTGTATGCACAGCGGGGGTCTCGAGAGGTTCAGTTGGGGAGGCTACATTGGATGTCAATTTAGGTGGTAGCACTCCTACCATGGAAAACTGTGCACTTCTCGAAGTACACCACTCCACCCCTGCTAATCGAAACCCTCGGCCGATTTTCTGAAACCCTACATGGACCCCAGCCTTTAAATCATTAAGCCTTAAATAGCCGTAACATTGCCAGATTAACTGTGTCTGCAAGCCTGGTTTTTAAGTAGTTCTCATCCTGACACTCTCGGCACCCCCCTCATGCTGACCGCAGCTGCACAGGTAATTGGGTTCAGAAGATAAGCTCCAAAAAACCATCGTTGAGGAACCACGTAATGGGACGGTCATCAAGGAAAGTAACAGATGGGCAGGAGTCTTCAAGTCCTAAAACTTGCTGCCCCGATTCTTCCTTCTGTCTTCTTGGGCCGGGTGTTTCAGTGTTGTGCATAGGATCGATCGGATCGGGGATTCGGGTGTTGGCACCCAGGGCCTCATGAGGTCGGGGGAACAGTTCACCACGCCGCCCTCGTTGTAGCGACCTGGGAGGCTTTCGGATTTAGCGATGAGGCGAAGAGGGGTTCAGATTCCTTGGCGAGCCGGGTGTTCGCTTAGGCTGACAGGATGCCAAGATGCAGGTTCATCTCCGCACACACGCAGTCGCACGCCGAGATAAATTTGTTGTTGTGTCTGCGTTTGTGGTTTTGTGTAATGTTACACGCACGAGTGCGTCCACCGACACGCACACACACACACACACCCATCTATGTGTGTGTGTATATATATATATATATAGTTATATAATCCTTCTTCTAGACATCTGTGTAAGTGTGACCCAAGTGGACTGGAAGGGTTCATGTGGTTCCCACCACATTTCGACGGACATCCTACCGTCGATTACTTCATGAACCGGTTGAACATCGCCCCCGATGAAATGCGAAGTCACCAACAGGTGCAGCGTTTACCGTCTACGGCCGGCATTACAAAGCACACAGGTTCTCTGGCTCTGGATCCCAGGTTTAAAATCTATAGAATTCGTGGTGTGGATTTTTTAGTGAAGGTGGCAGGATGTGAGTCGCTTCGTTAGCTCTGTGGTGACCTTGGGTTCTTGTGTTCAGCACCCAAGGCTCCCTGAAATTGAAACTGCTGAAACTAGGGTAACTCGGTAACTAGGGAGATTTCCACGGCCTGCATCTTCGTCGAAGCGCGACGTGCTCTGAACCGTCACAGCTTGAACCCTCAGCCGCAGCCCTGCAGAGCACATCCTCGCACCCAAACCGTGAGAAACTTTGGCAGAGAGCCCTAAGCTTTCTGATCGTCGCACAGTCTTCAGACAGCTCACGAAAAAGAGAACTGCGGCCACGCACACCAGCTCGGGCGTCGGATTTGCGATTGGAGTCCACTGAGGAACTGTTGAACTCTAAGCTCAAAGGACCCTCCAGACTCTGGCAAGTTGCAATGATCCGTGACCAACTGTGTCAAAATCACGGCGAAGCCTTAGCATGCTTCCATGTGCGACCCTACATCTCGCTTTCAAGTTGCAATGTAGCCTAGCCCTAAGCCACTGTCCCACCAGCCATCAGAATACAGAAGGACACGACCCATGCTGAGGATTGCAGTGCTCCTGGTGAAGAGTCTTGCGCGAATGCTTGTAACAAATCGTGGCGATTGCGAGACTGTTGGTGATGCAACCTATAGGAGATCACAGGAGGTTTAGGGCTTCGTCATGCAATCCTGTGTAATAGGCCGGCAATCGTATTAGCGCATGACTGTCTTGTAAAAACGACTGAGCTCGTGACCGAGACATCATGACTCATGACGGGATGCGTGACTGCCTGCATGCCTCGGGAACCTCAACAAGGGAGGTTCCGAAAACACGAAGGCTGGCCCGCCCGCCCATGTCGAATTCTGTACACGTGACAGGTACAGTAGCATCGGGGACAAAGGGTACTCCGACTTTCAACCTCGGAGGAGCTCCAACAGGGACCTTGATGCGGGCATCAGAGTTGACATGAAAAGCGTCCGAATGTTTAGAAATAAATCTCGGCACTGGGAAAGCGTACGTAGCAGTCCTGGAATCCAAGCAGCAGTAGAAAAGAAGGATAAGCAGCACCAACGTCCAAATCAGGGACCACATTGTACTCAGGATTGAGAACCTGAGTAGCGGCATGAGGATTAGCAAGAACCCAGCTGGGGCCACACTGTGCAGACTGAAATCTTCGGCATTATTGAATCTGCACTACTCCCAACCTTTGGGAACGAACTGCAAAAGCGAGCTCGGTAGCTGAAGCCAAAAGTTTCCGAGATTCGGCCCCAGGAACATGACCACTTGGATTTGTCTGCGCTAAGACTGAAAGCAAGCCCAGCCTGCATGTCTCCGAAATTGCTCCTGCCCTAAACGGAGCATGGAAGGCCTTACACCCTTCCTCCATAAGGCTAGGCGGTAACAGCTAGAACGGCCTCTGACCACCGACTCTGGACAGTGGTAAACCTCAAGCCCGAAACCCTAAGCTCTGAATTCTAAATGATCTTCGCCCCAGTCGCACCAGAGTCCGCAGTGCACTGACCTCAGCTGGTCCCAGGTTCGTCTTCTTGCTTAAGTTTGCAAAATGTGGTTGTAGCATGTGGCTTAACTGCCGACAACTACTGCCTGCGCTATGGTAGGTCTCGACTCTGCTACATTGTGCTTTTGCGCACGCTGCGGTTTCCGTATGGGGCTGATCGCAGAAAACAAACCAACTGAAGCTCCACAATGCCGGTGACCGCTGCGAAGGGAAGTTCTGAAATCGTACCACCGTGCAGACAATTGCTACACAGACTTCCCTGGTCTCGGTAAACCCTGAGTCTTACAGCACATATCCGAAGCAGACGAAATACAATGAAAAGACCGCCTGTCATTACTGTTGCTGTGATGCACACACACTGGTGCTGCTCCTATTTGTCCTATCTCTGTTCCTAAGATCTTGCTGCTTACATCTGAATCTTGAAGCTGCTAAGTGGCGAATCGGAGGAAGCGCACTGCGCGAACACCACGCAGTGCCCTCGCAATCCGCGCAAAACGCATGACGCGGAGGTGGCCTCAGCCGTGACGGAGCTGATGTAGGGCTGAGATGACGGACGGTAAGGGACAGTAGCAGGGTATTCATTCTCGGATTGGCCAGGCGAGCACAACAAAGGAGGGGCTCGGGTGATGTCATCAAATGCATTGATCGGATGGTAGAGATCCCACGACCCTCAGGAAGAACGCGATTCGTGGAAGAGTCGAGAAGATGTCAAGGGCTGTAAAGGTTCAGGCCCTGACACCCAGCTATTTGGCAACATGCGGGAAAGCAGAAACCGCGAAACCGCTTCTTGATAGGGCCTTCGCTGCTCCTCGGGCAACTATCGCAGAAACATCAAGCAAGGCCAAACCCTAAAGCCTCCGAAACCCCAGTTACATCGGGTCATGATGAAAAGCTGCTCAAGGACCAGCCTGTTCAGAAAACGGTCAGCCTGATTCACTGCGCCTCAATCGAGTCTCGTGGCAGCTATCACATGGCTAATTCGGAAGTTACATTTTGCTTCTTCCGGCTGCTCAACCGTATGATGGATATGGAGCTCTACATTGTGGCTATATTTCAACTTGTGCGTGCTGTCACTGTTTAGCTTTGTCGAAATTTATCAACATGGCTTCCCTGGGCTGGTGCTTTTTGGAAAAAAAGCGATGCATGCACGCTAGCGGCTGGAGTCCATCTGCATTGCCGCCATCCAGATTGTCACGAACTCCTTGGTGCGACTACCACTGAATCCGGGAGCCCGGACTCCTGGATCTGTGCTCTTGGAGCCTTGTGGGTTGACATTTCGGATGCGCTTCCGTAAAGGTGCTGCAGCCAGCATCTGGCTGTTGCCAGCGGATCTGACTATCGCCCAATCCCCATCATTCATCATCATCACCATCATCATCATTATCCTCATCATCATCATCATCATCATCGTCAAGACCAAGCAGAGTTAAACATTTTCTCCGCTACCCCTTTCCTTACCTGTGTTGAAAATACCGCAAAATGCGGTTGATGTGGCATGTACTATGAGTTGAGCATCCCTAAGACATGTTGTTTCTTCGGCCAGCAAGTCGGCATGAGATAGTAGTACCAGTACTAGTACTGGAACTAGTTACAGTCGCAGTAGTCGTGCGAGCAGCACTCCGACGAGTACTACTGTTCGTCCAGTGCCAGTAGTAATACCGGTAGTACTGACAATTGCGGGCTTCGTCGAGGTAGTTGTAGTCTTCGTCGCAACCGTGATAGTAGCGGCAGTAGTAATCGCAGCATCAGCGTGTCGTACCTGACGTTGCTGTTCTTGCTACCGCCATCGGCTTCTGCTAATACAAGGATACACAGCAGCCTGAAGCCTTGCCCGAACGAGTCCTTATGGTTTGCTTGAATACCTACCTCCTAATTAGATCTGTTACTTTAACTTAAGCCTTATCTACGAAGTTGACGACAGGTTGCTGATGGGACCGTATTCACAAGACACAAGGGCGCGAAAAGCAAGCGGGCAGATGAAGGTCATGATGGTGACGGTCGCGCTGGTACTCAGGATGCAGATGGTGATAATGATGATGCTGATAGTCATGCCGATGACGAAGACCAGAAGCGCAATCTCCAATATTACCCACAATGTTGCAACCGTCGCGTCTGGCCAACAACTACTTCTGCCGCTGCGCTGCTGCAGCTCCTACCATTGCTTCAGCTGTCTTCAACATGGGTTCTCCCCACTGCAGCAAAGGCACCATAATGGTCTCCATCACGGATGTTGAAATGATGAGGACATCGAAAAAGTTCCTAAGCTGCTGGTGATGAATCGAGCGAAATAGTCTCGCCCACCACACGGACTACTTGCCTCGCCCCCCCCCCCTCACACCTCCCTTGACACGCAAAGTCCGAGGAGCCTGCGGCTAACACTCTGACTGCAAGGCAAAAAGGCCCCGGCTACAGCAATTCTTCTGCACTGCCGAGCCAAGACCACCCCTCTTATCACTTGCACCAGAATTCAAGAGAAAGTTAGGGCTTCGGATTTGGGTTAGGCCGAAACAAACGACCTGCAACCTCTATAGACCCTACATCCAAGGGGCCACCAACGCTCCGGCCCGTGAATGAAGCCCCGGCAGCCATAGGCCACGAACCTCTCCGACTCGTCTGTAGAAATATCAACTCAAGATCTCTGAGGTTTTTTGTGCCCCCTGAAATCAACATGTGGTCACACGACTTCAAAATCTTTACAATGACTCAAAAAATGTGAGGTTTCAGCACTCACAACTGGGACAAGCCTGGCGAGGTTCCAAGTACATCGACGATAGCACATTGGCCAGGGCAGGCAGATTCACCACGCCCAAACTCACTCTCTCTAATTAAATCCCAACACAACTCATCCATCCCATGACCTCCTTCTGTACTCCACGATCCCAACTTCGGCATCCCAATCTCGAACTTCCAATGCGCAGTGCCCTCGCTGAAGCATGCACATGCAGCACAAAAGCATGACACATGGCATACCTCAGCATAAGCATCTTCACTCCCACTCCCACGCACCAGAATTCACGATTGCCTCTAAGGTGGACTCCAGCAGTGTCGACAGTCTCATCACTTCAGCGTGTATCAATCGCCACGACCACACGCCCATATGTTGAACGTCGATCAACAGCTGTGGCTTTTCTTGCATGCCTTTGTCAGGTGTCTCCCTCTGGCCAGCAGGTGTTGAGGTTGTGCTCCTCTTGCTGGCATGCGTCTCATGCAGCAAATTCAGGACTCAGCCATCTCATGCCATGCAAGCGTCGCCGTGTATTCCACCAGTATAAACCATGTAGTACATGCAGCAAATTCGTATGCACCTGAGTGCATCACGACCACGGTGCTGTAATGTTGAGGTGACGCCCAGGGTGCATGTATGTGTATTCCATGCAGTGCATGCAGTAAATTCGCGATCACCTTCTGCTCTTCCATGTATTGTATGCAGTAAATTCGCACTCACATTCTGCTCCGCATAGAGGCTTCAGACAGGATGTCCGCACGCTTCCTGTCTGTTGTCCTTCATGCCAGATCGCCAATACATGCAGTAAACTCGTATGCACCTGAGTGCATCACGACCACGGTCCTGTAATGTTGAGGTGACGCCCAGGGTGCCTGTACGTGCATTCCATGCATTGCATGCAGTAAATTCCCGATCACCCTCTGCCCTTCCATGTATTACATGCTGCAAATTCGCACTCACATTTCCTCCTCGCAGAAGTGTCAGACAGGATGTCCACACGCTTTTTGTCTGTTATCCTTCATGCCAGGTCGCACCACTCTCGCGGGGTGCTATTGCACATCGTTATGGTGCTCCAACATCATCTCCCGTAGTCAGTATCCACGCCTATCGGGGTCTGCCTAGCAGACATTTGTGCTTCGAGCTTCGGGTATAGCGTGGGTGCGAGGAGGAAAAAGGAAGAAGGCCTCCCTTCGCAAGTGCGGCCAAGGGAGCTTGGGAAGCTCTTGGCCGGGGGTGTTGCGAGTTTGGGATTTCGGGTTGTATCGGGTGGTTTTCTTGGGATTATCAGAAGGCTTTCCGTCTTAGGGCTGAGGTTTGGAGAGAAGCCCTGGTACGTGCTCTATACGTCTGGAGGCGAGGATCAAGACCCCGAACCTCAGACATGCAAGACTTTGCGTACAAAGCACGATCGCGATCCTCTTTTCGATGGAACTGGTTTAAGTCAAAATCTTATCAGGCTCGGCTAAACCCGCAGGAATATGACAGAAGCACTTAGACTTGGGGTCGTCCCTAGTAACACACCATGCCAACGTCCCTTACTTAGGAGCCGCCCTGCTGCGGCAAGCCTGTATGGTCGGCTCACGAACAAGAACACATTCCCGCTATAGTCAATTACGGCCGGTATTTGGGGGTTTACAAAATAGGGGACCCTAATATAGTACCCTAAACAATAGGATCCTTATTATAAGGGCCCCAAAATAAGGTACCCCTTATTTTCGGAAACTCCCGTTTTGTATTACGGCCCCGGCTCCGGCCCCCAAACAACAGCCCTCAACAACGGCCGACGACGGAAGAGTGCACAAATCTATGGCCGAAGCACTTCAGGACGAGCTCAGCGACAAAAATGACAACCTCACCAGTCCAGGTGGGAGGTTGGCTTCCTAGGCAGCCTGTGCTGTCGATGGAAGTGCTGGATCAGCGACGGTCAGTGCAGTAGCTCGAACGGTGTCTAGGCTCAGCTGGGGTGAGGGGTGGTGGGAGTGGGGTCGTCTTCCTTCCGGGAATGGGTGGCCCAGGTCACATGGCTTTCAGGCCAGCCGCGATGGTGAGATTTATGAGGCCAAACCATCTCGGCTCCTGGCGCGAAGTGCAACCAACACCAACCCCAGCTTTGCCCAAAAACACTCGGCACTATCCGGACCGCTCCCAACCCCCAAGCCCTAAGCTTCAAGCTTTCGACTCAGCACCTCCTTGGAAACCCTCGGAAGATGTCGAAAGCCCTGGCCCCAGCCTAAGCTCCTCCGAACTGCCATGGACAAAAGCTGCGCCGTGAGGATTCTGAACCCTACAATCCGGGTTGTGGGCTAAAGGGGACCCCAAGCCCCAAGATGTTACTCGAACTTGGGCGTTTTGCGCCTGGTATGGCGGAAGTGTCGAGGCGACGTCCACTTCAATTCCGAGGATGACCATATTCACCTGGTGTCGGGATTCTGAAGGGTGCAGGAGGTAGGGCTCTGCAATTCGCAACCTGGCAACAGACTCTTTCGAGCGGCATCCAGCACGCGCCTGCAAAACTGCCAGACGGTACATAAGGCCCCTGCCAAGATTAGAAAGGTGATGGCGTAGGTGAAGGAGGCCGAATGCACGATGGTCAAAGCCACAGCTTGAACTTTGCTCTGTGGCTCTGGATGTTCATCATCGTGCTGCCAAGTACCTGAGCGGGGTATCACTGGCTGGGACTCAGCCACCTGTACTCGATTGCACTTGTCGGAAACCTTGAAAGTGGCTCAATAGAAATTTTCTAGGTGCTGCTGGCTCAAACACCTCTGTCTAGTAATTCTGAGTGCTACCACGTAAACCCTGCGTCCTAACACCTGAATCCGTTGCACCCTGGCTCCAGAAAGCTTCCTAACCTAAATGCCGAGGGCAACTCTTCAAAACAGTTCAATGCAGACTCGCGGCTGTTCCAGCTGTGCAGAGCAGGCTTGTTGTCGCGAGCGTTCTCCGGTGAACCTGGCTTCGGGTGTCAGGGCTCGCTGCTGTTACTAAGTATGCACGAGTCTATCCATCCATGCATCCAGACATTTTTGAAATTGGCACTCGCACTCGACTAGGTCAGGCGAGGACTCCAGAACTCTAGAAGGCTACCACTCATTCACAGAGTTACCTTGAACTCCAGTTGCATCCAGACATACATGCATACATATGTATGTATGTATGTATGTATGTATGTATGTATGTATGTATATACTCGAATATTCATACATCCGTACATACACAAATACATACAGACACAGGGCAGGGAGCGGGGCACAGACAGGACAGGACAGACAAACATGCAGCTGGCTAGCCAGCCAGACACGCGCGAATATCATACGTCTGCATGCATGCATGCATACCTACATGCAAGAACGGCAGGCAAGCAAGCAGGCAAGCGAGACACATGCGCAAACCATCTGTATACATGTGCGCGCAAGCACGTGCGAGTGTGCAGGTGTGTGTGTGCGTGTGCGTGGAAGCACGCACGCATGCATGCATGGGTGTGTGTATGCATGTATGTGTGTATGTATGTGCGTATGTAAATACGTATTCAATTATGTATGTATGTATGTATGTATGTATGTATGTATGTATGTATGTATGTATGTCGGTCTGTAAGCGTGCATGTATGCATGCACGAATCATGCACGGCTTGGTGTATGTATGTATGTATGTATGTATGTATGTATGTATGTATGTATGTGTTGATCTTGTCTATCTGTAAACCAAAGTGCAGATGTATGGGCATCGTAGGGCTAAGTAGGGTCGGTTTACTGCCCGAGATGACTGATACACTTGGCTCACAGCGAACAAAATCGCTGCACCCGCATTAATAACCGACAACTTCAAGCCAACGCATCTTGGGCAACTTCAGTGCAGTTCTTTTGATATTCCCGAGGTGGTGAAATGTCGAACATCGGACGGCGCGGTCGATTGAGTCAATCGCTCCATGATCTTCTGCAGTGTCCCCCCACCTTACATCCCACCCGAAGAAGGCAACATCAAGGCGTGCCGAGGCCTTCTTGTGCGGGCTCTGTGCCTTCTTCGGCAGCCTCCAAGCAAACCCTGCTTCGGAGAGAAACCCCGAAAGCGTCAGTTCTGCGATTGAAACCCATCTTGTGATTGCTGAAGTCGGCGTCCGAAGCTTTAAAGGCGTTAAACCCTTGCATGCCGATGCTCTGAATCCCGAACCTAGACCACCAAAATCTTACATCGCTAGTCCTGACACGACAAACCCACCTAGTCTGCCATAGCACAAAATGGCTGTGCAGTGCTGCTTTCCTTCCGTTCCCTCTCCCTCTCCCCCTCCTTTTGCCAGCTGAATCGGCGATGATTTAAAAACCACTTGCTACACTTTTCTGTAATGTGTCCCTTCAAGTTATGGACCACGTTTCTGGTTTCAGGGGTTTGCGGTTTCAGCTTGGGCTCGAGCTGGGGCTCACGGCTTTGAGCTTCGCACTATGCCCGACGTCTGACAAGCAGCATTGATGGCTAGAGTCTAGAGCTCACCGCAGCTCGACCGTCCAATGGCACAGGTCTGGAATCTCTGGCTGAAAACCACTTGCACAAGCACTGCTTGTTCAAAGAACTTCTCAAAGAGTACATGTTCCGAGGGTACTTGTGGATTCAACTCCACGTATCCGGAATCAACTGACGAAGAGGTCCCCGCGTGTGCTCTCTGAGGTCTGGAAGATCTTTACACATATGTGCGATCGGCAAGAACACTGGAAATCGTAAACAGGGATGCCTGTACACGAGCCGATACTGACAATTTGACACTCACACCAACTATAAGCACTTTAAGTCTGTATCCTCACGATTGTTAGTACTACTGCTAGCAGTGACGTATGGCTAGCATTGTCGGACGACTTCTGAACTAGGCAGACCCTCAGCTCCTGCGTCGTCTTCAGCTCCGCCTGCCGGCTTGGGGCTTCGGGTCATCTGAGGCAGAGGTCTCGAGAACAGAAAACTAAACTGATGGACTTAGTCAAAGCTCAGCCCAACGCCATGGGAGAAGCCGACACAACAGTTGAGGATCAGGTTGTAAGGTTTAGGCCGTCAAGCTGGGAAATCACAAAGAAAGAACACCACGTGAAGCTTCAACTCCGAGTCCGAAACCAGTGGTTGTCGTCGTCGCCGCAGTCGTCTTCGTGGTCGTCGCCGCCGTTGTCGCGGTCGTGGTGGTGGTAGTGGCGGCGGCGGCGGTGGTGGTGGTGGTGGTGGTGGTGGCGGTGGTGGTGGTGGTGGTGGGGGTGGCGGTGGTGGTGGTGGCGGTGGTGTCATCGGTACCGCAATCGCAGCTGGAATCGCAACATACTGCACAGCTTCAACATGCAAGACAAGCAAGAAGACGGGCAGACCAACGGTATCATGGCCCCGCAGTAAGGTGGAGTCAGGGCCCAGCCTGCTCATCCGCAATGAGGGCGATCTCGCCAGGCCTGATAGGCTTGGGACGCTTGCAGCTCCTGATTTTAAGCTTTGTGTTGCCAGGCGCTCTGCCCAGATGCCCGACCTGATTTACCCTGAACCATCCTGGGAACCGACAGAAAGGGCTGTCGCATGTGCTTATGGCGGCTGAGCATTGAGAGGCCCTCGCGCCTGAAGGCTCTGAAGAACCCAAACTGACGGGCGAGCTCAGGAACCCCGAAGCCCGCCTTGCCGAAGGCCAGGAAGGCACCTGGAGGCCTGGCTCTGTCTCTGAACTCTGTCGAATGGATTTCGCATCGGATTCTTGGGGAGAGCTAGTTACTTCCTCCACGGCCAGGGTGCTGAGCTTTCGGATGGCTTGCGGTAGTCGGTAGTGCAGTTTTTGACTGAGTTCTTGGGCTGTTGGAAGTCCTCGAGGCTCGCTTGGGTTTGGGGGGGGCATTCGGGGCTCACACTCGGACAGTCCAGGCGAAGCGCTTTTCAATTTTTCCGGCGCTCGCACTCGGCCAGTCCAGCCGCGGAGTCCAACGAAACAAGGTGCCAACCAGCAGTTTCTGCTTGGGGTTTTGGACTTGAACTTGGCCCTGACAGAGTTAGATATGTAAAACAAGGGCTGCACAAGCAGAACAATGCTTCCGCCGTAGATCATAGAGCGTATATATATATATACACGTACGAGTCATGATTTTATCAGTGGGACCCCACATTTCGGGATCTGAGGTGTAGGACCCGGACAGTTTAGACCCCAAATTGCGGAACCTTATGGCTCCGAATACCTTGACACAGGAGCTCGACGCTACGAAAAGCTGCATCGTATGCCGTATGCCCAGGCCTACTGTACTGAGTAGATACCGCTTTTGACATGGCTACTGCTTAAGCTGGCCTACCCGGCACAACATAAGCCCAGGATGCCAGTGTACACCAGCACGCCACAGACTGACCCCACGACCACACCATCCGGAACAAGATAAACATGTTGGCACGGGGAAGTTGAGTCTGGATTCGCGGTTTCCTACAAGTCTGCGCCCAAGTTGACCAAGGTACTAACCCTCCGGATTCTTCTACACTTGACACTTGAAGCTCCAAAGGCTACAGCCCCAACGCCCCAAACTTAAAGTCGTGAACCATGCACGAGATCGTGTGATACTGCCACGCTCATTGACGGCCGAATCCCATAGGGCCGCAGTCACCTCGGCTGGCTCGTCCCCAGCTTAAGCTCTAAAGCCGAGGGTGAAGAAACGCTTTGCCTGTCATATGATTTAGCGCACAGTAAGTGCAGTCCACAGTTCGTAGATGTCTGAAACGTTGGCGAGGGCAGAACTTCTCAATATTTCTCATGTTCGGAAGCCTTAGAGGTGCGGACTCCGAACCATTCCAAACCGATTCCAAACCCTAGAACTGTCAACCCTACAGTTCACCTGGTTCCTCCGACTTGGCAATGAACGCTCGGAGCTTTAGGATGCTCGATCTGTCATCTTCTCGCCAGCTCCGTGCCCAGACTCAACCAGGCAAGCGGCCCCTCCTGATGTCGACCTCGACCTTCGCAGGCTCTTGGTCTCCGTTAACGGGAGGTCAATATAATTAGTTGTGGGACAATTTTGGTGAGTCCCTCCTATTGAAAACTGGATTCCAGGGTCCGACAAACACATTTCAGCACTGCCTGTGCGGTGAGCCCGTTGCCCACTTGCTAAGCATGGAAGTGCGCGTGGCTTACATGTATTTGCCATGTTCTGTAACTCTATTGCGCAAGGATAAGGACATGTCCGAGGAACCGCTGCTGTAGCTTTGCAAGTCTCGTTACGGAAGCTGCACAGACATTGGGCCAACTGGCCGGGTGTCTCATATACAGTATACGGCAGAGAATACGAAACGATGGAGAAAGACCGGGTTTTCCTGGCTTCAGTTCTCGATGGTCCTGGTTCACCGGCACGAAGATCCCCTGCAAGAAATACCCCGGTGAGCATCGCCGCATGATTACACTGCTGCACCCCTCCGTGCGGAACCGCGCAACACTGGTCTGGTTTTGAGCCCCCAAGCCCACAAGCTTGTGCCCCAAATGAGCATGTCTCCAAACTAGGGACGGCTGAACAACGCAGCCCTACATTAAATAAAAGGAACCCCAAAATGGGAGAACGGCTTCCTCGGACGAGGGGCCTCCATCTTGAAAACCCTCTTGGCCAGTTGCTGCAAGGAGCACCTCAACACTGCCAGGTAAAAGCAGAACGTCAGAATCTTCGCAAGAAGTTCATCAAAACATGCTGTTGATGATCACAGGTATGGTGTTACTTCCCCTCCCTAGTCTGCATTAAGCCGTCCAGCAGGAAGTGAACGAAGTAGCAGTAGGCAGTGGCAGTTGCAGCAGCTGGCGAAGTCGTTGCAGTACTACTACTACTACTACTACTACTACTACTACTACCTACCTACCTACGTTCATTACATTACATTACATTACATTACATTACATTACATTACATTACACTACATTACACTACATTACACTACATTACACTACATTACACTACATTACACTACATCACATCACATCACATCACATCACATCACATCACATCACATCACATCACATCACATCACATCACATTACATTACATTACATTACATTACATTACATTACATTACATTACATTACAATACATTACAATACA